TCATCACAACATCTCCCAGTTGAATTTTTTTCCAAGTGGCATTTTTGTAAATTAAAATTATTAACTAAATCCAAGATCAGCAAGTAGCTGCTAAGTGATGAAGAATTTAAACTTTAAAGCAACTATGTAATTAACCTAGCAACTTAACCTTGTAACGCAAACCTGGTAAAACAAATTAGAGGTGAAAAAATCCTAATAATTTTCATTTATGATATGGGAGTAAATCTCTCTCTATATATGTATTTATGCCCACGTTATAAATTTGCGAGTGGTTTTTTTTTTCTGGTCACCTCTTCCAAGATCAATCAAGAGGAAAAACATTTAAAAGTTAGGAATTGGGCACACCTTTTTAAAGATTTCAGTAATATGTTTCCTTTATATGTTATTACAATAAAGGCTCTATAAAACTGTTAGCTGAAGGCTTTGATAAGAATAAGATCTGTTTTGAGAATAGCACTTATCATTGCCCAAAATAGTTCAGAAAATCTTGCAGATTATAAGATTTTTAGCTTGGACTACAGTAGATAACTTTGAAAAATGTTCCTCAAATATTTAAAAAGGCAAAGTAAATTTTTCTCTACCTGCTAAATTATTGAACTTTTTGCATAAGAACGTCATTCAAGTTTTCTAAAATGAGAACTATGAGTTTACGTTAAACATCTCTAAAATATGTACCTTTTTTTAACACTACTGTCATGAGATGCATTTGTAAGATTATCCAAATTTAGATAAAAGTAAATGAGAAACTTAAAAAGGGGAAGCTTTGAACACTATAAATCCTTTCCCATATGAAAAGTATAGATATTAGCAGAATATTCACTAAGTAAAATGAAAATATTACCTGGTTTCTAAGGCACACTGTTAGTTATAACATCTAAGGTGGGATTTATTTGATGAACTGCATTAAGCTCTCAGAACATTTGCTGCAATTGAGGTAAGAGGCAAGTATTCACATGTTAGTCTGTGGTCAAGAAAGATATTTCAACTAAAATATGTCAATTTTCACGTCTGCAATCACTTAGACATTACTGATGTAGTATTTGGAAGAGTTTCTGTATAGAAGATTTTTTAGACTGGCGTATGATACTCAGTGCTGTAGAGGGTTAGGTAAACTCAGTTCTCTTTTGTTCAACAATGCCTCATTCCCACTACATAAAGCTTGGTCTCCGGTTTCACTATCCAATGCCTGCCTTACATTAAGCTGTACTTTGTAGGTACACATAAAGTGATTACATTATAAAAGGCCTCTAGATCTCTTGGTTCAAATGTAATAATTTGTTTAATTTCCATTAATTTTACAGGAGCAAGGGAACCCTCTCCAGTAATTTTCAGGTTGATAATTTTTTTTTTTTAATTTTATTTATTTATTTTTCCCCCAAAGCCCCAGTAGATAGTTGTATGTCATAGCTGCACATCCTTCTAGTTGCTGTATGTGGGATGCGGC